GGGCATACGTGTGTGGGCATGACCACACACGCTTGCAGGCACGCATCGCCATTCAAGACAATGGGGCTTGAATATCAGCGAGTTTCCGTTTTCACATGTGTGGGTGTCCCCAGAACAGATCCCTCACGGAAACAGAGGGCCGATTGTATTTTATAATTGGAGATAAAAACCTCCAGGAACTTTGGAAGAATCAACTATCTGTGATTTTTTTTTTCTTTTAAGTGTGAAAAGTCGTCAGAGCACTGCCAATACCAATAGTTGGTGGTGTGGGGGGGGGGTGTTGTTGTTTTTATACTCTGCTGCGTACATTGCTTTTGGCCATAGCTGGTGATTTTTACCCAAACTGCACCAGGAGTTGGCCTTGCCCAAATATTATTACTGGTCGACAGGGCCTTCCCATGATACAGAACACCAACAGCATGGGATTCCTGACTGCACAGTGGCCTACACACATACAGTGATATACACACATTTCCTCCATGCAGAGGTCTCTGCCTCACCACCCTCCCAGGCTCCTCCAGTGAAAACGTGGGAGAGAACCTTCTCAGTGGCTGGTTCTAGGGTATGGGACCTCTCTCTGTTCTCTCTGGCAGGCAAAGATGTCCCTATTTAAACTGGTCTTCACCAGTTGGGATGTGTAATGAATGTGCTAGTTTGTTTTGAATAGTTTGTTAGTTTTAAAAAAAATGCCTTAAAAGTAGTGTTTTAATTGGATTGTTTAATGCTTTTTAAACTTTTGTGCCTCATATTGTTTTAACTATTTTAATGCAAAGTTGTTTTGAGTCCCATTTTGGGATAAAGGTGGGGTATAAATCAAATCAAATCAATGTCTGCACCAGACAAATGGATCTTTGGAACAGGATTCTTTAAGCAGAGGCTGGATGGCCATCTGTCAGGGATGCTTTGATTGGGAATTCCTGCATGGCAGGGGGTTGGACTGGATGGCCCTTGTGGTCTCTTCCAACTCTATGATTCTATGATTCTATGATTCTATGATTGCGTGATATCAGAGGGATGGGACTATTGAGAGGGAACTCACTCAATTGTTATGAGATGTCTGAGTGCCTGAATATAGAGGGGTCACAACATTTGACTTTGCTCACCTGATGTATGCAAAACCTTCAGCACATTCAAATGCTCTACAAGTTCTCCTCAATTTCAAGCAAGCATATTTCAATTCTGCTATAAACTCACCCTGGCTCTGCCGAGGCACAATGTCCACAACAACAGAAGTGTGTTTTGTGTACCAGTCATACTGAAAGAGAGGTGAAAAGGGATCAGAGGATATACAGGAGATTACAGCCTCCTGCTCCACCATTTTTTCAGCATCCAGACATGCCCCATGGAATGCTTAGGGTACAGCCTCTTTCAATTTACACCATGATAAAAACAGCAACAGCACAATGCTTTGTAACCTAGTTGGGCTAAGCCATCTCATGCAATCACAGGAAGAATCAACATGTTGCCAGGCCTCAGTGCTTCTTATGTTCTGCCTCAGTTCTCATTGTGTCTCTCATAAAATTCTGCCTTAATTATTCTCAACAGACTATTCAGGAGGGAACTCTGAAAATTCTGTTAGCAAATATTCCCAATCACATTTCCTAATCATGGGAAACATGTTCCACAACTGCTTTTGCCATATTGATTGAATGAAACTATTTCAGGCTATAAAAGAGCTTTCTCTGATTTCACATATTCAAGATTCCCAAACCTAGAAACATCCTAGAGGCCCAACCTAGGTGAAAGACCTTATAGACTTTTCCAGATTTTATACAGAAAGTGAGAGCCTGTTTAGTTTCCTTTACAAACCAGTCGTATGAATAGGGGTGGGATACCCAACGCCCAAATGGTCTGGCAATGGCACAAATTATTGAGGCTTGAAGGCAATGCTCACCATGCACAAGCGGCTGCACTGTTGGTGGGGCCCAGATGCTTGGTTCTCCAGGTATACAATGCGACATTGGTCAGGACTCAAGCGGGGAGACCAAATGGCCTTTGTGTCCTCTGACAGCAACTCTGCAATGTGACAGGAGGCAATGTATTAAGAAATAGCATTGTAGCAAAGCAATGACTATGAAGTAAGTAGCAGCAACAAGCTTCTCACCACAACGGCCACCTGTCAGGTCCACATAGAAGAGAGCAGATCTACAAGGGGAAAATCAAACAGACAAACAAAACCCCTTAGAAGTGATGGTTATGTGGCAGAGCAGCATAAAACAATAAAATGAGGAGTGGGAGCACAGAGAAAGAATAGACACTTTTTTGTCTCAGGTGTCCCCTGGACAGAAACAGAAATGCTTTGGTGTAACAGCTGGCTTCTTTCTGACAAGGGAGCCAAGCACTTCTCATATGGGCCTAGAAGTGAGAAGTGGCCACACACATTTGGGACTCTGCTTCATAGGTACAAAGCTGTATGGTCTTTTCCTAATCACAGGATTACAGCAGCTTTCCACAGCCTCCCACAACTCCAGACAAATTGAACTTGGCCAGCTGGAGGCTTCAAGGAGCAACAGTCCAACTGGAGGGCATCAGGTTGGGAAAGGCTGTAGTGTCCCTTCCCTGTATTTTTCCACAGGCGAGAACAATTATATTGACCCCAGAATATTATTACAACAGAATGACGTTGGAATGTTCTTAGGTACATTTTCCCATCATTCATTCTACTACCTGTCTCATAACATAGAGGATAAAGCCGTAAGTGGGTTCATATTGGTTCTGGCAGGAAACTCACCTGCGATTGGTGCAGTGCCTCAACCCTAGACGGAAGGGCTCATGCCACCAGCCTGTGAATACCACTCCTGTATCACCTGGAGTCCAGAAGGCCTAGGGAGAGAGGAAATGCAATGTAAAGTATGAAGAGCAAATAGGTCAATGCAATTCTAAGTTGCATCAACAAGAGTATAATGTGCAGATCAATGAAAGTAATTCCACTCTATTCTGCTTTGGTCAGACCTCACCTGGAATACTGAATCCAGTTCTGGACACCAGAGTTCAAGAAGGATATTGACAAGCTGTAATGAGTCCAGAGAAGGGCAAACCAAGCCTAATGAGGAACAACTTAGGGAGCTGGGTATGCTTAGCTTGGAGAAGAGCAGACAAGGTGTTAAAAACCATACAAGAGAAAAAAAATTGAAGATGTTAGTGATAGGCCTGCATTTTGCTGTTTTTGTTCTTAGTTCAGATAGTATGGAGGGGTATCTCTTTGTATGGAGATACTCTCCATACCATCTGAACTAAGAACAAAAACAGCAAAATGTAGGCCTCTGACAAATATCTACAATTTTTCCCCTCCTGTATGATTTTTTACACCCTGCCTGATGAAGCCAGTGGAAATTTGAAAGCTTGCAACATGTATATTGTGCGTTTTAGTTGGCCCCATAAAGTTATCACTGTTTGCTGGATGTTTATGTTATTGCAAATGGTTCTAAGTACAGGTTGAGTCTCCCTTATCTGAAATGCTTGGGACCAGAAGCGTTTTTGGAGTTTGGAATACCTGTATTTGCAGATATGTACATAATGAGGTATCTTAGAGATGGGACCCAGGTCCAAACACAAAATTCATTTATGTTTAATATACACCTTATATAAATAGCCTGTAATTTTATACAGTATTTTTATGCATGAAACAAAGTATGTGTACACTGAACTATTACAAAGCAAAGATATCATTATCTCAGGCACCCATGAAAAAGGGTTTGGTTTATAGTGTATTTCAGAATTCCGGATAAGGGAAACTCAAACTGTACAAGAGCTATGATAGTGAGGAGGAGGGGAAGTTTGAAATGGGAACACTAAATCATGAGATATAATATGAAGACTTGGAGCTAACTAAGTGGACTAGAAGTGTGCACTCAATGTTTTCTCCTGAAGGGCAAATGTAGTTAAGATTTAAAATTCTTTTCCCAGAAGGTTAAATGTCCCTGGCTCTCAAGTGCTTGGCTCCGTCCCTACACACTCACAGGATCTGCATAGTTCTTGTAGTGTGAAAGGTAATCTAAGAATATTGGGATGCAGGGTAGACAGTGAGAGTACACTCAATCATACGTGATTCCCCTTCCCCATTGCCATTCCTTTCTCCTTTTGTGTCTTATCTTTTTAGACTGTAAGCCTGAGGGCAGGGAAATGTCTAATTAACAATTTGTAAGCTGCTCTGAGAGCCTTTTGGCTGAGGAAGGGGTATAAATACCCCAAATAAATAAATATACATAAATAAAGGTCCTGTAACTAATATGAATTGGCTGTGGCATGTGCTCTGCAGTACTCTGCACTGACCTGTCCAGGAGAGATGTGCTCTGGAACACTCTCTAGCACTGACACGTTGTTGCTCTCAATGTCCAAAACACACAGCACAGGAATACTCTTAGCCACCAAGGTCTCCCCCCAGTCTTCATAGAACAGAAACTGCTCCCCCTAAGAAAGAAGACAAAGAGGAAGATTGCAGGGAAGAGACTCCTTGGGAAACAGGAAACATCAGTAAAAGGATTTCTCACTTGCCTGATAGCTTGCCAGGACTCATTAGGTTTCAACTCTGTATTAGTCACGACATCACTTCAAAGCTCTTCCCACCCAAAGAGTAGGCAAGCACGAACATTAGAAATTCAGTCATTTCTACAGCAACTCAAGTCAGGAAGGCAGCTGCTACAGGTGGTTGATGCTACTTATTTTCCTGCGTATAAGACTACTTTTTTACCTGCAAAATCTGTGGCTAAAGTGGGGGGGGGGTCGTCTTATACGCCGGATATAAGGGATAGAGGTGCTAAAACTCTATATTTTGACTGGAAAAATGGGGGGGTCGTCTTATACGCCGGAAAATACGGTACCTTTCGATGTCCATGTTTCAGCTTTTGTTGTTTTGTGCACTTTCAAGTCATTTCCAACTTCTGGCAATCTTAAGGTGAACCTTCCATGGCATTTTCTTAGCAAGATTTGGTTACAGGAGGTTTGCCATTGCCTTCCCTTGAGGTTGAGAGAGTGTAACTTGCTCAAGGGGACCCAATGAGTTTTAAGGCCAAGCCAGGAATCGAACTCAGGTCTCCAGAGTTATAGTCCAACATTCAAACCACTACACCACCCTGAAGCCACGGAAGTATAATCTTAGAGTGACTATAGGTTGAAAAAGTGGCTACCCCACTGGGCCTGTTGCCATGTGCTGTATAGATAGGAACAGAGTGGCCTGCAGCAAAAAAGACCTGCAAGTAACAGTGATAAAGTCTAGGAGGCCAGAACAGCCACTGCCACCCAAAGCTTGGAAATTAAGGCACAGGGCGTAGTTAAGTGTCCTGCATTGGTGAAAGCTGGCTTCAAAAAACACCATGCTTAAGCTATCTTTCTGGTGCTAACAGAAAAGAAAATGTGAAGGCGAAGGCTTTCACTGCCGGCATCCATAGGTTTCTGTGGGTTTTTCAGGCTGTGAGGCCATGTTCTAGAAGAATGTATTCCTGACGTTTCACCTACATCTGTGGCTGGCATCTTCAGAGAATGATGGCATGGAGGGTATATATTCTGTGTGACCTTTGGCTGAGAGGATTAGCATGGAAATTTGTGTATTGTTCTGTTGAGGCAAGGCCTCAGGGTGGAAGGATATGCAAGGAGGATTAGTGTCTATTTAATTAATGGCCCATTGTCTGCTGGGAAACCCCCTGACCCTGGGTGAAGTTCATTTGCATTTGCTGAGTCCTGATTTTGGTGTTTTTGAGGACTGTTAGCTAAACTTTGTTTACTTTCAGGGTTTCTTCTTTCCTGTTGAAATTGTCCAGGTGTTTGTGGATTTCAGTGGCTTCCACGTGCATTCTGACCTGATAGTTGTTGGCATGGTCAAGGATTGCAGTGTTTTTAAATAGCATTATGTGCCCAGATTGGTTTATAATGTGTTATAACTGCTATTGCTGACTTTTCAGGCTGGCCCAGTCTGCAGTGTCTCTTGTGTTCCTTGATTCGCGTTTCATCACTGCGTTTTGTGGTCCCTATGTAGACTTGTCCACAGCTGCACGGTAACCGGTAAACTCCTGCAGCCGTGAGAGCATCTCTCCTATCCTTCGCTGAGTGCAGCATTTCCTGGATTTTCTTGGTTGGTCCGTAGATCATTTGGAGGTTGTGTTTTCTCATCAGTTTCCCTATTCTGTCTGTGATTCCTTTGATGTATGGTAAAAATACCTTCCCTTTGGGTGGTTATTTTTCTTCACTCCTGTGTTTTTTTCTGGGTCTGGCCGCTCTTCTGATGTCTGAGCTGCAGTAATCATTAGCCTGTAGAGTCCAGTTTAGGTGCTTCAGTTCATCTTCCAGGTAATGGGGTTCACAGATCCTTTGCACGGTCTACCAGTGTTTTTATTGTGCTTCTTTTTTGTCTGGGTAATGATTGGAGTTCTTGTGTAGGTATCTGTCCGTGTATGTAGGTTTTCTATATACCATGTGGCCCAATCATTGGTCTGGTTTGTAGATGACCAAGACATCCAAGAATGGCAACGTTCCTTCTTTTTCTTTTTCATTGTGAATTGGATGTTTGGGTGGATGTTGTTCAGATGGTTCAAAAACACGGTCAAATCTTCTTCTCCATGGCTCCAAATGGTGAAAGTGTCATCCACATATTGGAATCATGTTGTGGGCTTTTTTGGTGCTGTTTCCAGGCTTGCCTTTCAAAATGTTCCTGGCCACATAATTACAAACCCATATAGGGCAAACTCCCCAATACATCAAGGACTCAGCTCACTTCATAGAAAAAATCAACAACCTCAAACTAAAACTTGGAGACAGACTAATCAGCTATGATGTGGTCTCCCTGTTCACCAAAGTCCCCATAATGGACACAATGGCACTCATCCAACAAATTTTTCCAGAAGACATCGCAGCCCTGTTTAAACATTGCCTCACCACAAGCTACTTCCAGTGGGACAATGGATTCTACGAGCAGAGAGATGGGGTAGCCATGGGAAGCCATCTGAGCACCGTGATAGCAAACTTTTATATGGATACCATGCAGCTGTGGACAAGTCTATATAAGGATCACAAAACGCAGTGATGAAATGCGAATCAAGGAACACACTGCAGACTGGGCCAGCTTGAAAAATCAACAGTAGCAGTTATAACTCGTTATAAACCAATCTGGGCACATAATGCTATTTGAAAACACTGCAATCCTTGACCAGGCCAACAACTATCAGGTCAGAGAAGCCACTGAAATCCACAAACATCTGGACAATTTCAACAGGAAAGAAGAAACCCTGAAAGTAAACAAAGTTTAGCTACCAGTCCTCAAAAACACCAAAACCAGGACTTAGCAAATGCAAATGAACTTCACCCAGGGTCGGGGGGGGGGGGGGTCCCAGCAGACAATGGACCATTAATTAAATAGACACTAATCCTTCTTGCATATCCTTCCACCCTGAGGCCTAACAGAACAATAAACAGATTTACATGCTAATCCTCTCAACCAAGGGTCACACAGTATATATACCCCACACATCTCCATGCTATCATTCTCTGAAGATGCCAGCCACAGATGTAGGTGAAACGTCAGGAATACTTTCTTCTAGAACATGGCTTCACAGCCCATAAAACCCACAAAAATCTATAGAAAAGGAAATACTGGCTCATGGGGCAGAGGATGAAATAAAAACTCAGTATCTCACCTTAATAGCTTTGTCTCGTCGCTTGGTGAGTTCTTCTTCACTGCTCATCTCAGGAGCTTTTGGCTTGAAGAAAGACTCAGTCTTGGGGCGTTTCTTCTCTGCCACATAGAGAAGGTGAGACTCTGAGTGTGACCAGGCTAAGCAGCCAAACTGATCTGTGGAAAGAGAGAAAGTTGACAATAGACTCAAGTACATTCCTAACCACCTCATCCTAAAGCCCTTTGACTGCAGCATCCTATTACTCCTTGCTTGCTCTAGACAGACAAACTTTGGGCCAAAACAGACTGCAGAAATAATCCAGCTTGAAACCTCTTTAACTTCCCTGGCTCAGAGCTAGGGAATTCTGGGAACTGTATTTTGTGAGACATTTAACCCTTCTCTGTTAGAGTGCTCTGGTGCTTCAACAAACTACAGTTCCCAAAATTCTCTAGCATTGAGCCAGGGCAGTTAAAGCGGTTTCAAGCTGGATTATTTCTGCAGTCTGGTTTCAGCCCTTTGTCTACCACTTTTTCAGTCTGTGTTTGGGACTCCTTTTATATTCCACCTTTTCTCTGTTAAGCCCCAAACAGTGTACACTACTCTATTCCTCTTTACTTTTATCATTACAACAGCAACTCTATGAGGTAAGTTTGGCTGACAGTGAGTGATGGGTCCAAAGTCAATTAGGAAGGTTTCATGGCTCAATGGGGATATGAACTTGGATTTTACAGGCCCCAGGACAAAACTTTGGGATTACTATTCCACAATGGCTCTTGAAGAAGTGGAAATCATGTGCTTCTCCAGGTGTTGGACTGCAACTCTCAGCTTTCCTCAGCATTAGGCAAGTTGGCTAAGGTTGCTGAGGCATGTAAGGGGTGGTACCTGGTACCCCCTTGCTTTTTACAAGCTTTAGCAGAACTGCAGAGAAGCCTCACCATCCTCATATACTTGGCCATGCTTTTCCAGGGCTGTCAACTCAATGCTCTTCACCTTGCGGCTCTTTTCCCAAACCTGTGGAATAAGCACATTGCTGCTTAGGTCTGACTCCTTTGTTCAGGTACCCAACATCTACCCTATTAGATATCCCCCAGTAGCATCATCAAACCCTTCTCTCCCCTTTCATAAAAACAAAACAAAACAACCCCCCCCCAAAAAAAACAAATGTTATACAAGTGATGGGTGCTAGGAGGCAGCCTTCTCCTGAGATGAAAGCAAGAGAAGTGTTTAAGAACACTTTTAAAGATGAAAAAGGCTGGTGAACCACTGTATGTTGAGCTAGGAATGAAAGAATAGACCACCTCCAGAGGATGGGTTTATGTGAGATGCAACAGCTACAGAAATAGAGGAAAACACCCTGGCCTGTTCCTTCCAGACGATGTACCTCCAGGAACTGCTTTTCCTCGCCTTTGCTGTTACTAGTCTTTCGCAGAACAGCTTTCTGTGTTCCGCTGGGAGAGTCCCGACTAAGAAGCCTAAAAAGACAGGGCAACATGGTAAAGTTTATGGAAAAGCTGGCTTTGCAGGCATTTGTCAGAACAGACAAGGTAGCAGTAAAAGGCTCTATGGCCATCCTTCTGGGACATCCTTCTGCAGTCCACATGTATCCCCCTCCCTTCATTTTTCCACCTCCCACCAGAGAAAAGTAGCAAAAAGGAGAAAAAAGTAGCAAAAGGCTATTATTTGCCTTGTTTACAAGCAGATCTGCACTCCCAAGGGCTTCCGAGGAGTACTAAGCTGACTATAAATAAAGAAGGAAGTGTGCTTTCCCATTTCAAAGGGGAAAAACCCTTTTTCTTTTTCTTTTTTTAAAAAGCACCTTCTTGCAGTCATGAGCAAGGCAGCCTTGGGTGCAGCAGCACAAGGCAGTGGGTTCAATGTGGGCCCAACTCCTTGTCCCACATGGACATAGTGGCAGTCATGAGCCACTGCTTGTGGGAGATGGGGCCTTTTTCTCTAGACAGTGCCTCATTTTGCCCTCAGGGAGGTGAAGGTGATGATAGCAATGACTGTGGGACATTCCCCAGAGCTGCTCATTCATCCTGCCATCACCAGGTGACCAACCGTGCTCATGGGGTAGGAGATCAGGAGAGAGCTGTCCTGCTGCCAGATTTGGTTGACTGGAATCCAGGCTACAGCAGTGGAGAGAGGAGAGGGAGGCTGGTTTTTTGGCATGAGGCTTTCTTCATTGTCAAGGCTGAAGAAGGTCACCAGTAGCTGTTCCTGCCACATCCAATTCTAGACCCCATTTTGGCTGGGGGGATAGTGGTAGAGCATCAGCAGCAACAGCCACTGTGGCCACCACTTGTGCCAGGTTTGGCTATGAACCCAGCCATGCCATCTCCCTCCCTGCCTCAGCTTCTGCCCTGTCATGTCAATGCTCAAAAGGTTACGGATTTTGGAACATTTTAGATAAGGGAGAATCAATCTGTATTATGCTAATCCATGAGGGTAATGTTCTGCTCCTGGAGCCTTT